CCCGCCCCGATGCCCGCTCCGGCCGTGCCCAGCGGTGCTCCAGCTGCAGAGGCCGATGAAGCAGGTGCCTTTCGGCTGCAGCCTCGCCGTCCAGCCTTCCCCTCGTGTCCTGCTCCCCACCCTTCCCCATCCCTCCCATCCCCTTTCTCCTGCCCGTTTTCCCTTGGGACCTGCTGGATTCATCCTGTGGGTCCTTCCAAGCCCACCCATGGGCCCTGGGGAGGGTCACAAAGACACTCAGACACCGTGTCTGTCACTCACTCAGACACCCGGTGCCTCTTTCACCTTGTACTTTACACCGGGCTGCTGGGTGTCTGCCTGCTCAGGGTGGGGGAAGGAGGTGGTGTTGCTCAGGAAGCTGTGTGGAGAATGTTTCGGCTTGTTTTGTTGTCTGTGTTTTTATTTCTGTTCTGGTCATCTTTGAAATAAGTTGGTTTTGAGAAGGTTGATGTCTTTTCTGTTTGTAGAACTTATACACAACACAGCGTTTCTTCTTTGAATGCAGGTGATTCACCCAATGACCAAAAAAGCCCTGAGGAGGGGTCTGAGAAGAAAAAAGAGAAAAAGTCTGAAGCCTTGAACATCAGAGGTACAGCATAGGAGTATACTGCTAATGTTACAATTAACTTTAAAACACTTTCTGGTTTCCATTTCAGGTTTCTATTTATTTTTACCAAATATTAGTAATGAATAGAGCAAAAGTCCAGGATTCTTCTGCGTATGCAGACCCAGTTATCTTTAGCAGAAAGGTTTTGCTTGTATGCAATAGCACAGATAATAACAAAATAGTGTGATGCTGATTTGGCTGTGAGTGTGCTCACATCTTGATTTTTAATTCTTTGGAAGAGTGCAGCTGAACCTCTTGGGAAGGAGGCAAAGCCTATTGCCCTAAGCTCACGTCGCTAGTGGCTATACAGGAAGGTGGGGCAGGTAGCTGTGGGGCGCTTTGTTGAGTGTCACTGCCCTAGCAGTTGAGCAGTTTTCAACTTTCAAATGCTTTAGAGCAGGAAACAGAACTTCTTTAAATCCCAGGGTTTTGCTGTCAGCACGAGGAAAAAGGGGCTGGAAGTGGTGCTCCAGCACAGTGTTTTTCCAGGTCCTTGAACTGTGAACTTGTCCCTAAGAGAGTCTGTGACAGGATTAACCCTTCTTATGTTGTAATTCGGCAGATGCCTGGGTGTCTGCGGAGTGAAATGGCATAGCTACTTCTAGGGATAAATCAGCCAAGTATCTCTCTCCCTTTCTGCAGAGATATATGCAGAGGCATTTATAATGCAAATTCATTTACCTACCCATTCTGAGCCGAGTCAAAAGCAGGTATCTTTGAGTACCTTAAACACGGATTTTGTCTCCAAGGAAAGGTCTGTAAGAAAGCTGAAGCAGAATGATAGTTTCAGGCTCTTCAGGTCACTTATCAGCATCTGATAAGTCCTGTAAGTTGGCATCATGTGAATTCAGATTAAGAGGTCAACGTGGCAGTCAGGAAATTGTTGTTTGGTTGGGTTTTCTGTGTGTGTCTCTACCTGTCTTTCAAAAGTGCTTTCAGAGTTACACACGTGTCTGTAAGTGAAGACACTTTGGAAATCAAACCATGTGCTAGAGCCACAGCACTTTCCTGAGTGTGTAGAGATTGGTGTCCATGGATGTTATGGCATTATAGTGGTAAGGGTATTGGAGCAGGAAAAGCAAACTGGCACTTCCAGGTATGGAAGGGGAAAGAATAAGAAAACAGTGAGTGTACTTTATAGAAGGCCTTACTTGCCTGAATGACAGTGCTTCGCATATGGATGCTGGAAACTTTCAGAGATTTCTGGAGGATGAAGAGTTTTATGTCAGTTATTTTAAGATACCTGTCATCTTTGATTTCTAAAAAGAGAGTTTTTAAGTGCTACTTTAGTACATCACCTTCGTAAAACCTGTTTGTATTGTCCTTACAAGTAGTCCTTGCCACAGATATTCAAAATCTAGGTTTTTCCTTTGAATAGCCATATTTACTTCACGATCTGTTGGCAAAGTTTTGTATATTATAGAATCTGGGCCTCCCTGAAAAACATGGTTGGAGAAAATGGATTGGTAGAGGAACTGCTTCCTTGATTTTAAAAGTGGTAGGAACAGGGATCCATACATTCTGCCCGACAGGATTAATTACTGTAGTATAAAATTATTCCTTCTATTTCCTGAGCATATGCTCAGACTTTCTCACACAAGCTGTTGGAAACTGTGCGTTACTATCATCTTACCAGATTGGCTTTATTAAATAAAACACAATTTTCAGTTCTATCCAATAACCAAAGCTTTGGGGAATCAATAGGGAAATGGGTTAATTTCTGTCTAGGCCCCCATTACGTGATGTGTAACCAAGATATACATATTAATGATGTGAGTAATGTAAAATAAGAGTTTTCCAAATTCGTAATTTATCAAAATTCTGACACACTTTATTTCTTCTTCATTCAAAAGAAGGCTGTCTGAAATGTTTTCCTGTTCTCTTTAAGCTGTGCTCTCTAGTTAGTTGCCTTGGCAATTGCATCCTGCCTGTCCCTCTTGTTCGTGCAATAGCTGATAGCCTGTGCTGAATCAGGATTATTTGTAAATAAAAAGGGAACACTGCAACACTGTTAGGAGGAGTAAAGCTCTGTGGGACTCTGCCAGAAGGGGCAGAACATGCCTGACTCCAGCAGAAAGAGCTGGTCTCACTGGAAGCTTGTGCTTTTCTTATCTGATTCAAGTGATTCAGAGGAACTCCAGGGTTATTGCCTTAATTTATCATACAGAAGATCAATATGCATGCACAGAGCTGGTAAGAAACAACAGCACAGGCAAAGCTGTAGGTCTAATCCAGTGACTAGCATCACCAAACAGTCAAAATGCTTCACTGTGGTGTTAATGAGTGTGAGAGGGAGCCTTTCACAGCTTCTCCAGCCCAGAGGAAGTGATTCCATTAGAGTGAAGCTCTTGAAAGTGCTTGTCATAAGGATGTTAAAAGGAGGTAGTCCATTGCATTCTCTCTCAGGCTTAGAGTAAAAAGTATTGGCAAAGAAATGAACTTAATATATTTAGAGACATTTTGAATTAGGCATGGGTTGGAATGAAACAGTCTAAATAGTAAAGACTGACAAAACTGGAGTGCATTTGAGGGAAGATGATGTAAAGTAATAAAAAGAAGTTCTTAGATTATTGTAAATTTATAAGAAAAAGACTACTTTAGTCATTGTAGTTGAAAGGGCAGCTAAAAGTGTATTATTTTAGGAGCCTGTTTTATGTCCTTACCTTTTGTGCAAAAACATATCATCTATGGATGTAAAAAGTGGTACCCAGTGTTCCTCTCAATTTAGAGTAGTCCAGGTATGTATTAAACCATGCTGTCCATGTGACTGACTGTCAAACCAGGTTCTGATTTTTTTCTGATGAGGGCTAGTAGTGTTGGTGGGACAAGGTGTAATATTCCTAGTAATCAAGCTTGACCTGGAAATCAGAGTTTGATGGAGCCATAGGAATGAGCTTAGGTTTCACTTAAGTAATTTTTCAGGTTTCAATAGTGTCATAGAAGCTGATCGAGGAGAATAACTATTACTGGGAGTGGTCTGTGGCTCTCTTAGCTTCCAGGGTAGAATGGGTAGATTTAGTCATCAATTTTTAATTGGGAAATGAGGTTTAATGTGCCAGGATCTTTTAATAATCTGCAGGCGTTTAAGCCAACACTTTCCATGTTGCCATGGCATTGCAGTTGGACCACAGTGCTAGCATACCCTACATGTTTAATAATGCATCCCACTTAAGCAGCTGGGGTTCAGTCAGTATTTCCCTTGCAGTTTTGTCCTGAAAGCTGTTACTGAAAACATCAGTTATGATATTAGTGCCTGGAAAATTGCTTTTTTTACATGTCAAGTAGAACAGACTTGAAAAATGCAGCATTGCTGTACTTCCCCCCCAAAAAAACCCCCCTCACCCCCACTAATGGAAGTTGTACCATCTGTTTCAGGTGTTCTTTTGCATGTTATGGGAGATGCACTTGGATCTGTGGTTGTGGTAGTTGCTGCTACAATCTTCCATGTACTTCCTCTGGGGGATGCTCCATGTAACTGGCAGTGCTACATTGATCCAAGCCTCACGATAATTATGGTGTTCATCATCTTGTCTTCTGCATTCCCACTTATCAAGGAGACCTCAACTATTCTATTGCAGATGGTTCCCAAAGGTGTTAATATGCAACTACTGAGTAAGTCAAATTTGTTGCTATTAATTCTAACGATATATTTCAATGCATAGGTTATTTCTGGAATGACATGTTTGGATTATTTACTCATAATAGCTCTAAATTCTCAAGAACAGTGAGAAATAGTCACATGTCTGTGTCTTAGCAACATGACTCAAATCTCTCTGGATTAGTTAAAGCATGCATTTTGAGAATGTGGTACTCTAACAGTACATCAAAAGTACCAGGTCTTGAGCTGTTAATGCTTTGTGTGGGGTGTTTGTGAAAGAAACAACATTGAATTACAGTATCTCCCAACCCTTCCTCTGAGAGGCTTCCAAAACAGCCTAGAAATTTCTATTAAGGTTGGTTAATTTTGTAGCTCGCTGGCATATTTTGCGCTGGTTAATTGTGGGGTAGCGCTGGTTAATTGTGGGGTAGCACTGGTTATTGCTGGAATTCCACCATGCTCAGGGCTAAGGAAACCAGAAGATATAGGGTCTTGGCTAAGGAAGTGGTGCTCTAACATTGCTTTTGTGTAAATCGCCATAAAGGAGCCTGAGGGATGGGTGAACACAAAAGGAAGGGTGACTTGCTTGTGTGGCCATCTGGAGGGTGAACTGAAGGCAGCTGGGAGTAGCTCTATTTTACTAAGCGTAAAATAAGTGTAAGTGCATAAAATAAGAGTTAAGTGTACTTTTATCTGCTTTCAGGGAGGGCTTTTAATGAGAAATCTAGTAGTTGCCTTGTACACCAAAGCCTGTAATATCTTTCTTTTATGTTTTCCAGCTGACGAACTAGCTCGTGTACCAGGGGTGAGCAGCTTTCATGAGGTGCATGTCTGGGAGCTTGCAGGTGGGAAGAATATTGCTACTCTTCATATCAAGTGCCAAACCCCTACCGATTACCAAGATGCTGCTTATAAAATACGGAAGGTTTTCCATGATGCAGGGATCCATTCTGTGACCATCCAGCCCGAGTACACTGACCACAAGAACTCCCAGATACTGTGCAGCTCGCCCTGCATCTCAAAAGCTTGTGACTCTCAGCTGTGCTGCAGTCAGCGGGAACCTCATCTCGCTAAAACTAATGGCTATACTGAGAAAAATGATAGTTGCCTTTCTGCAGTGCATAAAGACAATGGTTCCAGGAAAACTGATGTTGAAATCCCTATCGAGAACCCACTGGCAGAGGAGAGCATGAAAAGTGTGAAAAATTGTGATGGCAAATCCATGTTGAGCAGTACACGACTTTAGGCAATTCCCCCTCTACTCTGTGTAATGTTCTCACAGAACAGATGTGTCCTGGCTGGGAAGGGGGTCATCGGTGGTTATAGCTGAAGCTGATGCGACAAAAAGATTTTGTGCTTTAGCTGTAAACCAAAATACATCTAAATAAGGATTCATATTTCCACCAAGTGTGTTCTGATGCAGCCTAACACAGTTCTTTCCCAAACTATGTGTGAATCTGTGTTGTTAGAGTGGATGGGGTGTTTTGCTGTCTGCACTGATGCTCGCAGTTAATGGCCAGTGGCACTGGGAATGAAACTCTGGCCTTTCTGCTGAAATGAGCCATTTCCTGAAAGCCCTGTGGCCAGTTAATGATTCTACTGGGCTGAAGTACTGTATATTTATAAAGGACTTCAGTAGAGATGCTTTACTGATCCTTAAACCCCATTTTTGCATAGACAGTTCATGTTTAACATAATGCTTGTGCTTCTGACCAGTGGAGTTTGTGAATGAAATTACAGAGTCTAAGAGGCATGGGAAACACTTGGGAATTTTGACTTGCATCTATTGACTCTTGTGTTTAAGGACAGAGCAGAAGCTGGTCTTGCTTCTCTACTACTGGAGTCCTAGCCTAATCACAGATGAGTGTGCTTAAGAATAGACTTCTTGTCAAGAAAGCGAAGAAATACTTTCGTACCAATTCTAGCAGGTGGAAACACAGGCAGTCATCCAAGTAACTTTATCTTGTTCACTGTCCTGATTGTGCAACTCAGTCTTTCTTTTTTTTTTTCTCTTGACAACAGAAGGTATCATACCCACAGTCTTAATTCATCATTGCACAGGATGGTTGCAGTATCTTTAACACTGAGTGTCTGCCATTACTCGTGCTGAATAAATAAGCTAATGTGTTCATTGTGAACAGTTAAAATTCTGCAGTTCTATTATTAAGACATAATTTAATATTGTATTAAGTAAGAAAGCCTCTTTACAATTTTATATGCAGTATTATCACTTAGAGGGAGCTTTATAACAAAAAATGCAGGGTATCTTTCCTGGTTTAGTCTCAGTTGTTGGTTTGTTTTAAAGGTTCCTCCTCTCTGCCTTGCCCCTTCTCTCCCTGCCCAAAGGTGTATTTTGAAATGCATTTAGTGAAGCAGTTCCATTACCTGTTTGCCGCTTGCTGTTATTGAAGGCACACAGGGAAAACAAGAAGACATCAGTGCTGGATTTAGGTCAGGTATGTTCCCCAGGTTTCTGGGAGAGGAGACCCGCTGCCTAATCCACACTGAGTGTAGTGCTCAGCCTCACTGGCTATGCACTTCAGATCCAGAAGCTTTCAAATACATTTTGCTGTCAAAAGCTGCCTTTCAGTGGTCTGTGTGGCCTGTGCAGGTTTATTCGTTTATTCGGGGGAACACCTTTATAAAAAAAAAGGCATCTTTACTTCAGTGACACCTTAACAGAAAGGGCAAATTGATTTCCTGCCTGGGCTGGGAAAACACCAGGACCTCCTTGTAAGGCTGGCTTGAAAGCAGCCTATTTCTTATTAATAAGGATGATTACATTAAGTCAATGAATATTAAAACACCCAGCAGGATATTTTGCTGCTTGGAAAATGCTATTTACTGAAGCAGTGATTCCTGTTTAAATAGCATGCTTTGAGATTTGTAGTTGCCCCTTTTGAACTGATTCTTGGGTGAATGAATATGTTTTATAGCCTTTCATTGTAAGTTCTGATAATATAAACTAAACTACGTGCTAGTATAATTAAAAGCTTGATCCTCTAGTCTAATTCTGTTGGCAGCAGCAGAGGTGAAAAAGCAGCAGGATCTTACTAGGCAGTTATTGCACAGATTCATGTAAATCAGGAAACATTTGAAGAATTGCTCTGTCTTTTAAAAGCATGTGGCTTAAAGTAAGACAATTCTGTTCTTATTATCCTTATTTTCATCTATGATGATGTTTAAATATTGAGGTTTAGATGTAAATGACAAATATAGGGCTTTTTTTTTGAGATCTGGAATAAAAGGCTCCCAAAATAACAACAAAGTCTAGGGGAGAGCTCGCTTCCCAGATACCCCCTAGAAACAGACACCCTTTCATAATTATGCATTTATGTCTTAAATCAGGTAATTTTTATATGTATATATTATTAAATGGTTGAAGATGAGATGGCAGTGTTGTTTATTCTGGGATTAAGGAAAACAAGTATGTGTAATGTTGAGGCATTTGACAAAATGGACCATCTTTTTCTTTATCCTTCCAGTGTTTATTCAAACTGTGTTTATCTATTTTTTAGGCTTTTAAAAGTGTTGTAACCTGAAAATACAATGAAGTAACATTCTCAAACTTTTTTTTTCTTGTCTGGTTGAATGTACTGTAATTGTTACCTGTGAATAAATAGGAAAATACCAGGGATTATAGAAATCTTCAGGGCTGGAAAACAAGCAGATTTAAAATCTGCTTTATTACCTAAGCAAACAAAAGTAACAGAGCTGTGTTATCGATGAGATGAGCCATGTTTTCTCTATGTAGGGATTTTCAGGGTATTCAGCTGAGGTTTCTGACCTGGTATCCTCCCTTTGAGTTCCACAGTAAAATATCTTTCTCCTCTGTTCGAAGCATGCCACAGCTTGGCTGTGCTGGGTGGCCCCTCTCTACATCTAGAAAACTTCATTCCAATCAGTGTGTATTTTGTACTGACTTATTTCCCTTCGGTTCTTGGCATCTCTCTTCTAATTCTCTTGAAGTAGGCTTACCTCATTTCGAAATACAATGTATTTCAAGTATCTGCCTTTATCTGTGGGTTTTGTTCTAGATTCAGTTTTGTAGCATATTGCGCTGTCATTAAATCTCGTCTGGCCTTTTTAGCTTAATTTCTTCCACCCCTTTCCCCCCAGTTCAGCAATGTAAAATTTCTGATGACTGGGGGTTGATTGTGCTACTCTGTCCTCTTCCAGTACTCCCTTAGAATTGCATCATTATGGCATTCAGGTTCTCTGGCAGTGGTTGCCCCTATCTGTCCATCACTATCTATAGCAAAGGAAATCTGTTTGTTTGTAATACGGGTGACTTTCAACTGATTGTCCAGCTTATGTGTCCCTCTGATCCATAACTAGTCATACACATCACCTACTTGTACGACAGTGAAACATTTGCTAGCCTTGCTAGATAGTTTTGGAGCAAAAGTGAAATCTGGAATGAATTAACAGGGTATTGAATGCAAAAGCACTTTACTGGCCTTCATCAATTAAAGTGAATCGATTTTTGGTTACCTTTTCATATGTGCCAAGTCAATTGTTAATTTTTCCTCCTTCTGTCACTCTCTAAATGCAAGTCTTGCCTTAGCATCAGTAATTTTCTTTACATAGAAGAACAATTTTTAGGAGTATTGCCTTTGTTTTACCATGTTTCCAGTTGAAAACTTGTGTTCTTTGCAATGCTTATTTGCAACTGTGTCTTTTTCCTCTTAACGTTTTTCGTATTCTTTGTCTCTTCAATAAAAGCAATGTGATTTTGGTGGCCTTCTGGGCAGGGCGATGTACCCATAATACAGTTTAGAAATACCTCTTTTATGCACTGGTTTAATTTTTGCACTCCATTTTATTCAAATTCACCCACTTTCCTGTTTTGCCATGTGATACTTTACCACTGCAAACCACTTTTTGACCTTCTTTAGTTCTTCCTCTTCTTTCCCCCTTCCCTACCTGATTATAACACTTACTGTCCTGAATGCTTCCTTTTATTCTGAACTTTGAAGGGAATATGCCAGCATCCAAGTTTTCCCTGAGATGAAGTTCACCACTCAAGGTCTATGGATGTCTTGATGTGAGCTACTCCAAGGACTATTTATGTTCTGTTGTCTGTGTAGAAGTGTTGTCTAAGTGGTCATCCTGAGATGTAAATATATATATTTATATATATACATTCTTTATAAGTAGTCCACCTGAACCAACTTTTTCAAGAAGGTTGGTTTCTAAACCTAGGAAAGTACAATGAAATCAGTAGGGTTCAGTAGTCATTCATTAACACCTTAAGGGAAAGTGTGGATCACTAATTGGAAAGCAGGTAAAGGAGATGTTTCTGAAAAGATCATTCAAAACCTGTGAAGATTTCTATAGGTTCTACTACTTACTCTGCTGTAAGTGGAAGCACTTTCTATGTTAAATACTTGATTTGAATAGTGATACCTTGACACGAGGATGTCACTGTGTAAGAATGTTACATTTATGGAGTTGTGTTGCTTAAAAGCTTCCTTCAGTTTTTCTGCTCAATATGTGATTTGAATAATGTGCCAAATTTAATTCCCATGATTGCTGATTCACTGAATTGTAAATCTCACTGTGGTTTTATTAACTATTAGTGAAAGATTACTTAAAGTTTTATGTACAGTTATATTTTTTTCAAAATGAAGTTTAAATGTCTTGTAAATAAAGTGTATTTTTAAATAAACCTGTTGTTTGGAGCTTGCTGTGTGTTAGCAATAGGGAGCTTGTGTCAGTTTGGATAATTTGAAGACCTTCGTATGAGTGAAGTTTGTTCATAACATGTGAGCTTGTTAATGCTGCAACTTAGGTTATGTGCTTGGAAGAAAAGAGAGCAGATACTCCAAAGCTCTTCCTCTGCAAGCAGCCCAGTGTTCCCTAACCTGGGAGTGAATTTAGATCCTGTAATGCCAGGGTAACAGACAAGGATCCTGGCTGCAACTGATGGGAGAGCTCTGAGATTCTCACTTCTGGGTTTCATGATGTGAACATGCATGTTAGAAATGAGGTGATGTCTAGCACTACAAGTTTCGGTGCTGGTTTCAGAGCAGCAGTCAACTTCACCAAACTGCCACGGCTTCCTAAATAATGGTCCATGAGAAATGCTCCAATAAATACTCCATAAGAAATTCAGTTCAGTTTTGGCCAATATGTTGCCTGTGGTCATGTGCTTGGGTGATGTTTCTTGGCTTGTAGCTGGTGGACTGCTAGTGAGCTGGGGGACAGAACTGAAACATCTCTAAAGCGATTGGTGACAAATAA